TATATATACAGTCCCATAAACTTATTGCAGTTTTAAGTTGGGCGAAAACAGGCAAACACTATAAAACAAGCCACACAAAGAGGCAGGTCTACTTATCATTTCTTTGAACAAAGGAGGTTAAACGGGAGGCAGCCTTTTGAGTTGCTGTTCGTGACACTCTCTCTTTCTCACATGTATATATATATATATATATATATATATACAGTCCCATAAACTTATTGCAGTTTTAAGTTGGGCGAAAACAGGCAAACACTATAAAACAAGCCACACAAAGAGGCAGGTCTACTTATCATTTCTTTGAACAAAGGAGGTTAAACGGGAGGCAGCCTTTTGAGTTGCTGTTCGTGACACTCTCTCTTTCTCACATCACCATGTTTTCAGCTTCATTAAACCCCTTAAAGACAAAAGGAATAAAGAGGCAAAAGGAAGAAAACAAACAAAAGGCTCCCTAACCAGGCTTTGGCATCAATGCCACAGTATCAACTCTTTATGGGCTCCCTACTTAACATTAAAAACACTTTCAAAAAAATCCATTTCTTGTTTAGAAACCCTTCTTGGACAAAAGTCAAACATATTATTCCGCAGCTAAAGCGGAGAAAGACAAGCGACTCACAAAAAAAGGTCCACTTTCATTGTAATTCATTGACTTGTTCAAAACGGGAGGCAAAGAAAAGGGCCAGACATTAACAGCCGCAGATGCCCTCGTGAAGGGAGAGTCTATGTAGGCATTATGGTCTTTGTTCGCACTCACTTCAACTGTTTAAAAGGAGGGTTAACTCAATCCATCAAATTGTCCGAAATTGTGAGGAAATTTCAAAAACCATATGGCCTCCAAACGTTTGCGTCCTTTTTGTGCGGTGGGACACACTTGTCTCAGTATTGCAGGCAGCGGGGGGCGGCCCTGCGCCTTTGTGGCTCGGCCCATCGGGGAACGCTGCTCATTTGTCCCCACTTTTCATGCTTTACGCTCAAAATTACGGCCTGGACCCGCAGAACAAAAAAAGCCCCCCAAAGGCCGGCAGAAAGTGGGCCAAAACTTTGTGTTTTCGTGGCATCCTCCTCTTTATTTGCCGGGGCCAGATTTGTGTTTCTCACATAAATTTTTGGCCCGAATAGAGAAACACGTCTGCGGGTCAAGAAGCCATGATACGCATTTAAGACGTGAAAGGACATGGGAGATTCCGGACCACAATATGTTTCGAGCATCCTCGTAGAAAAGGACACAAAGGGATTAAAGAGTGCAGTATAATACGTTTAAATAGACGCGTTTGATGGCTTTACACGCCCGAGCGGCGTGTCGTATAGCACGGTTTTTATTAGTCTGCAGTAGAGAAAGTAAAAATTATTGGTTAAGAATTACAGCGTAAAGGAAATATTCAGCGGGGAAAAAAGTCATTTTATTCCCATTGTTGCCTATGTACATTGCAGTCTGTGCATTAATTGGTTTTCAAATCCTGATTTTTAGAAAGGCACTTACAGGTGTTCAAATAATAACAAACGGTATCCAAACAAAGTAATCAAAAAAAAAAAAAGAATGAAAATCACCGCAATAAAAAGGAGTTTTTTCGGCATCAGATAAAACGCCTCATCGTAGGAAAGAAAATCCCAATCTTCATGCACTGCGGCACAAGGTGAAAAGAGGACAGGAGCCCGCAGTGGCTCACGAAACACAAAACATTTACATTAAAAAAGAAACAAACGGGGAAAAAACTACGTAAAATAAATAGAACAGTAATCACAAATCAAATCATGCATTTGCATGCAAAACATGATTGGGTGAGGGCAGGCCCTATATGAAAAGTAATGGAACGAACAGGTTCTGAATGTGCGTGTGCGCGCGCCTGTTTGTGTGTTGGCGTTAAAAAAATAACAAGAACAATAATCATAATAGTAATAAGTTACACGTGTCATTTTTGACCATATTGCTTTGATTGCAAAGACTGTTTGTTACATATCGTGAATGACCACTGCATATTTCTTCTTGTTGTGTATCCATGCTTATCCACTATGAGTGCCCGTACAAAAGTATAATTACATTTTGGTACATGTTCAGAAAAGTGGTACACAATATAAGCAGTAAGTTACAAGTAAGTCCTCGACGGTGTTTGTGTCCATCGTCTTTTTTCTTGATGAATTGTTTTTTTTATTTGGCTCTCCCGCGCTACAGCGCCATCAGTCATCCACGTCAATTTCCACGTCCTCGTCCTCCGAGCACTCTTTGCTCGTTGTGTGGTCTGAGAAAGGCGACAGCGGGGACCTCGTCACTTTCTGGCCGAGATCGTGCTCCTGCTGGCCCCCCCGCGTGGGGGAGTCGACTCGCGGATGGCCCAGCGTGCCGTTGGCGCATTTCTCCAGGTCGGCCAGTTTGGCCAGCTTGTCCAGGGGGACCTGGCCGATAGCCTTAGCCGACTCCACGTCAGCCTTCATTTCCTCCAGGTCTCGCTTTAGCTTGGCCCTGCGGTTCTGAAACCACGTGATGACCTGCGCGTTGGTCAGGCCGAGCTGCTGGGCGATCTGGTCCCGGTCGGCAGGGGATAAGTACTTCTGGTACAGGAAGCGCTTTTCCAGCTCGTAGATTTGATGGTTGGTGAAGGCCGTGCGGGACTTTCGGCGCTTCTTCGGGGTGGTTCTCTGGCCGAAAAGGGTCATGCCGTCCCGCCCTGCAGAGTAATGGGCACGGCGTTAAAAACAAATCAAATTAAAACAAAAACAAAAACATTCGATGCCTTATTAGGAAAATCACACGGGAAATGTTCAGCGCCACGGCGCCATGAACAACAGCATGACCACTTGCACAGTCATCAGACAATTATACTCAATTTTGAATGGCAATAATTTAACAGTTATTGTGGTTGCAGTTTGCAGTCTTTCATATCGTACCGGGAGCTCGTGTCTACAAATAATGCGACTAAATGATGTAACCAAAATGATTACGACATCTCGGCTCACGGTGCACTGCAAACAGCAACCTCAATTGTTCGATTCATACCTCTAAACTGAGCCATTCTCTTGTATTACACCTCAGTGGTGCTGCAAGTGTTCCTATTTATGCGACCAGTGAGTCCAATAAATGTATACATTTATAGAAAATGTGCGAGGCCCCAGTCCAGATATTGCGAGACCACCGTGAGAATCAGCAATCAGACAAAATAAAAATAGGATGACTTCAAAAACAAGGAGGGACTTTCGGGTTAATTGTAGTTGTACGTTGGCATCGGATACGTTTGCAGATGCCCCTTAATATTTTTTTCCAGAGTAGCATCGATATTATGATGATCATTAAAAAAACCCCATTTATTTGAGGTGCATACCTTCTGCCGCCTGTAGCACGCTGACCTCCAGCCCCTTGAAGGTTTTGCTGGCCAGCTCCTCCAGGGCGCACAGCGGCGAGGTTTGGGTGAGCAGAGCCCGGCTGGCCAGAGGCAAGCTAGAGGCGCGGTGCTTCTCGCTGGACGAGATGAGATGAGCCGTGCCACAAATAGTGTAACTTCGCTTCACGGACGGCTTGTTGAGGATGTCCTCGATGCTGAAGGGGGTCAGTGGCTTGTTGGAGTTGGCGGGGGGAGGCAAGTGGTCCAGCGGGCTTCGCCTCCTGTTTTCCCCCGCATCACATTTGGCCACTTCTTTGGATGTCATCACTGGTGGTGAGTTGGACTGCAGGGTCGGGGTGGGGAAAATCAGATCTGAAAACGAGTGCGGCTATGCAGGGGAGATGGGTTGCAAAAGTCACATAACAGTGGGAGACTGAAGGTGGACAATCTTATTCCAAAACGGGATGCCTTCAAAGTGCTCCTCCAGAGTCCGGTGCGACGAGAAGCCTCCCTGAAAATGGCGAGCTCCAAACACTTGACGATTACTAACAAGTTATCATTGACTGGTAGCGAATCAATTATTTCCAGTGGCACTTTCGCCCTCTTCCCTTTCACTCTTTGACTATGTTGCGGTCCAGCGCGGAGGTTTTTGCGACTGGAAGGGGGGGGGGGGGTCCCATTAATTAGGATGCATGGCTGGGAGGAGGAGGAGCCCGGTGGAATTATCATGCGTTGTACTCATATCATCTTCGGTCTAATTTAGTCGTGTGGTGACTTACGAGAATAGCTTTGTGGAGTCAATGAGGGGGGAGGTGGCAGGGGGGTGAGAACGAGAAAAGGAGGGAGGGGGGGGGCAAACGGGAGAGAGGGAGAGAAATCACAAACCGTAGCCTATTTAAGCCTTTTTACGGATAAAAGTTCACCTTCCGCTGGCGACGCTTTGCGTTCTTTCATTTTGTGACAGAAATTGGATTATTCGACGAGTGGACACAGGTTTGTTGTCGAAGTTAGTCATAAGGATGTTTGTTTTTCTCGCGACCAAAACTGGATGATTCTTTCTTTTGTAAAGGTAAAGTCGAGCTGAGCCATATATCAGCTCTGATGATGCCTCCTCTGGGGCGCCAGAGAGGAGCAGCATGCGGCCCTCTCAGCATCACCAAAGCGCGCTCATAATTCAGGCAATAGCTTCTTTTTCCTCCCTTTCCCTTCCTTTTTAGTACTTGCAAGAACTACTTCATCTTCTCTCAAATGTCCCTGCGCCGTGCAGGTTTGGCATCCCGGGTTTGCGAAATGCAATTTTGAACATAAATACAATTTACCCATATAATAATAATAATAATAATAATAATAATAATAATAATAATAATTGAATCGTTTAGTTTTTTTCTTCAAATTGTTCACTTTTATTGTTAGTGATTTTTTGTGTTTATATATTTTTTTAACAGAAATATGGATTAAATTATATTTAAGCGTGCTGGTGGAAAGATTATTCATTATTACATTCTGTTTGATATAAATATTATTAAAGTTTTTGTTCTTATTATGATTCTGAAATAATTTGTGGGGTTTGTGTTAATTTCAATATTGCACACAGTAATTCGTTGCCTTCATGCTAATAGTTGTTGATGTAATTTTCATAGGAAATATTAAAATGAAGGCTAAAAGAAAACAAAACCAAATAACAATAATCTGCTCGGTTGAGAATAATAGATCCTGTCATTTTTATTTGCTGCTGCAGGGGTTGAGGTTTAATTTCAGCGGTAACTGCTTATGTGGTATTTTGTTGAGAGGTGATCTATTTTCTGTGCTTCACCAAATGTGTTTATGCACAAATGTGTTTGGGGTTGCTCATGAGAAAACAAATAACAAATAATTCAGGTTTTATATCAAAATATTTCCAATCTCTTTGCAGTTATTCAAACCAAATGTAAAATGTTTTGGTTTTTTTTCATGATGGAAGACTGAAAATTTCGAGATGTAAAACCTGCAAATAATGTCAAATGAGAATTTGACACTAACTGGGGGGGGGGGGCATTTTGCTGTATTAGTCAACTACCAGTGTCTGTTTTAAATAAGGAATTAAAAATTATAAAATAATCAAATCTTTATGTTTAATGTGTATATGTGTGTGTGTGTGTGTGTGTGTGTGTATGATATATATATATATATATATACACACATACAGTATATATATAATGTAAAGCTTTGAGTCACCTCTAAGCTCTTCTATCAAGGGGCTTAATGTCTTTATAGCCTTTAGACTGTGGATGCAGGAGACAACAGTATCACTCATTCTCTTGCAATTCCAGACACTGACCATTTTGTGTCAGTCAGATGCTTTTGATTCTCAATTGGCAGAGTGATCTTAATTGACTTGTTTTCCGTTAAAGCTGATGTTTGGCATCTCATACATCTGTAACATTTCCCGGTGCTTCTGTAGTCTGCACAGCCTCTCCCCTTTCACCTCTTCCCAACCAGGTGTTGATTTAGGCCTTCCACACTGCAGTCTGTTAGCTCCAAGCTCCATCCTGCTATGTGTTCGTGACCTCATGCGAGGAGACGCAGCACCCACTGCAGGCTTAGGCGGCTGTTAGTTGACAGCTGCAGGGGAACAATCCACATTGTAGCCATTTTGTGAGACCCCAAAGTTGGGTGTCAGATCTCCACTCTCCCAAAGGCCCCTTAACTCCCACCTCACCATATATAGAAAGCAAGAAAATAGAGACAGAGTGATTCTCGTCTTGTGTCTCTCTGTATAAAACATGTACTGTATAAATCACATGTCATTACCAGAGGGTCACTCTCTGAGGCGCACCATTGGGCGCTTTCTTCGCAAGGGCCAGTGTGATTGGAGGAGAGTGGATTTATCTGGCAGTCGGCTCTGTGGAGAGGCAGCCATATTTTATGTGACTGGAGATGTAATAACAGGCCCCTAACAAATCCCTGACGGCCCGCCTTTCCCTGCCTTGCAGTACAGTGGCAGTGCTGCTGGAACCTCAGAACAACAGTCCGATCAGTGTAAGAGCATGGCGCCTCTCAGCACACCTTTTGTCTTCGCTGGATGCCACTGTGCCCTTTACAACGGCCTTGTCCAAGGTCACTTCACTCAAATCCCCCATCATGTATTTCTAACAGTGGCTAGCCATGCAGGTGTTTGTATTTTTCACCTCTTACACATTTTTGTCAAGCAAAATTACAATGGCACAACTTCAGTTTTGCTTTCCTCAGTCTAACAATTGTGAGTAACCTAGTTAACAAATGTGTCAAATCCTTTTATATTTTCTCAGCACTGTATTCTTTCAAGTATCTTAACTACAGATTGTAGGAATGTTAGTGATGATTGCACAATAAGAATTTAATATCTTTTCATGCAGGGATACATAATAATTCTTGGCAGTGCTAAGATATTACAAGTATCCTCTATCTAAAAACAACAATGTGGCTTTGTTCAGTAACATTTCAATGAAATGTTTAGATTGCATAGTAACTACATTTCATTGAACTTTTTCATGGAAAAATAAATGTTTGTTTTCACTGCATTTTTAAAAATTGATATACTACCAAGTCAAAAATTGTTGGCATAGACGGATAGAAAAAATACGCCCATTGATTATTATTATAGTACGTATCAATACAAAACAACATAATTTGCCTAATAGCAATAATTGCTTCAGTCATATTTAATTTTGGGAGTGAAACAAGCTAAAATGCAAAAAATTGACAACAGCAAGACAAGTCCAATTGCCTTGATTTAACCTCTGCGGATTACCATAACCTGGAGAATCTACACAAAAATGAAGGCGTGCTGTGGTGAAACCCCACACAATTTTTTAGCAAGAACATTGGTATTTTTTTGGATTGATGTTGTAACATTAAGTTAAATAGGAATAAAGGCAATTATGCGATTAGGCTAATGGTACATAGCATGCGTGTACTTTTTTTTTAAAGAATCTTTCACTCAGCGGACTCATTGTAACCTGACATAAAATTGATCTGATATCTTTCAAAACCCCTGAAAGGTGTTTGAAGGGATAAACAAGGACATTTAATGCAGCTGAACACAACAGTCAATCAATAAATTACAAGTCAGGACATTTTCCCCCAATGCAAGGAAAAGCACAAACAGGTGCACGGACTCCCAAGAAATACAAGACGCACAGACGTTGCCCCATGGGGAGTGCATAATGCAGTGTTACCCCCTCTTTAAAGAAACCTTTTCATGGCTCTCTAGATGGAAGACAAAGTCACTGTTGTGTATTTTGATACCATAGTTTCACCCAATAGATATTTTAAAATAACATTTTGACATGATAAAAAGGATGTGCATGAAGCATACACTGGTGGGTTATTCTCTCTGTCAGCCCTGCCAGGCGGTAACAGCATGTCGGACCATACTGGTGTGGTTTGGGGCTTGCATGTACACTTGTTGTCAGTGTAGCATGAACGTAAGCTTTCCTAATTCGCAGAAAACACTCGTCCCGCAATTGTATGTGGCCAGCAATAAGATACGTGTACACTTATCATACCTCCCTTTTGATGATCTTTGTCCTTTTTTTTTAGGATATGTGACTATACAACAAACGGTACACTCACTGATTCCTGAAGAAGGATTTCTTCATTAACAATAGTACAATCTAAGGAGACATAACTGACCTGCATCAGACCTTAATGGATGATAGTCCAATTTCTAATTAGGTATTAACTTACAATATATTTATTATTGTAATTGTGGTTTGCAGTGATGTAGAACCGCACAGCACACAAGAGATGTTTGCAACATTTTTGATAATTGTATTTACTTACAAAGGAGTGGCAGAAAATAGAAACACTTCCAGATGATGCAGTGAAGTTCAACACAGACACTTACAGAGAAGTTAATTTAATTGTGTTTATTATTTCAAGCTTTGTAAAAGTAAAGTTTGATACACCACTTGGCGGTAAGGCCACGCTGACGGACTACACATTAACGATTATCTTGCTAAACGTTCTTCAAATGATTATCAAAAAGCTATAAGAACATCGAGAGTGACAGTTTGCATCTTGCTCTGCCTAAAAGCTAGCGCATATTGCCATTCAACGATCAAGCATCTTCATTTATTCACGATTTAAAACCCAGCTAAATGTCAACACTAGCCACGTAATAAATCTGTTAAGAGGGTACCCTGAATGTGAAATCATAGCCAAGCATTTGATCGGCTCTTACTCTGGATCACATGAGATTCAGGTGTACCTAATAATGTGTCTGGTAATTATATATTACATTCTTCTATTTAGTTTTCCACATTTGACGACTTGCGAATCTCTCCTCTGCACTGTTTGAATGCTATCCTGCAGCAGCAGACGCGGCAGCAGGGGCAGTGCATCATTTCAATGTGTTTTTCTTTCTCATCTGCACTTCACCATAAAACACAGTAAGCTGTAGTGCTGAAGGATTGTGTTATTTGGGATGGCCTGAATGGTAAAGATTATTCACTGCTTTTGCTAGTAAAAACTGCCAGAGGAGAACTGGGGAGAATTATGACAGCAATCCTTCAGTTTTCGTTTGCGCAGCCTTTTTTTTTTTTTTTTTTGGATGCAAAGACTTACAAAGTAGAATAAAGATGCCTGGAGGCGAAAAGCAGGAAAACTAATCTGCTGTA